TCCCCACGCTCGGCCGCAGCGCACAATGTCCAGCGCTGGGCCGCAGCGACGTCCCGACCCCGCTCGGTCGCGGCGCAAAATGTCCCGCGCTGGGCCGCAGCAGATTCCCGTCCCGGCCTCCCGACCCAAGCCCATGACCCCTGATCCGACGCCCCGATCCAGGTCCACGACCCCCGAGCCAGCGCCACGATCCATGCCCCCGAGCCAGCGCCACGATCCATTCCCCCGAGCCAGCGCCACGATCCATTCCCCCGGTACCGGCCCCACGATCCATTCCCCCGGTACCGGCCCCACGATCCATTCCCCCGGTACCGGCCCCACGATCCATGCCCCCGACCCGACCAGTACCGGCCCCACGTTCCATGCCCCCGACCCGACCAGTACCGGCCCCACGTTCCATGCCCCTGACCCGACCAGTACCGGCCCAACGTTCCATGCCCCTGACTCGGCCAGTCCCCGCTCCGAGACTCTCAGCCATGACCCCGACGCCCCCACCACCACGGAGGTGTTCCCTGTCCCCGAGCTGCCGCCAACAACCGCGGAGGTGTTCCGTGTCCCCGAGCCGCCGCCGGCGACAACCGCGGAGGTGTTCCGTGTCCCCGAGCCGCCGCCGGCGACAACCGCGGAGGTGTTCCGTGTCCCCGAGCCGCCGCCGGCGACAACCGCGGAGGAGTTCTGTGTCCCCGAGCTACCGCCGACGACCCCGGAGGTTTCCAGTGTCTCAGAGCCATTCATTCCAGAGACGTTCCGTGCCCTGCAGTCGCCGCTCCGGAGCCGGCTTGGTGACCGCCCGCCGGACCGACCCCCAGAGGCTCCCCGCTCGTCTGGCCGCCCGCCGGGCCGACCCCCAGAGGCTCCCCGCTCGTCTGGCCGCCCGCCGGGCCGACCCCCAGAGATCCCCGCTCGTCTGGCCGCCCGCCGGGCCGACCCCCAGAGCTCCCCGCTCGTCTGGCCGCCCGCCGGGCCGCCCGCCAGAGTTTCCCGGGTGGTCGGACCAACGTCTCTGGTTTCCCTCCCCCCCCACCCCTTGTTCGCTCTAGTGTTGGGCCGTCTGGAATTCGGCCCTTAAGGGGGGGTACTGTCACGGTGTGGTTCACTTCCTGTTGTATTTTGTAGTTTTCTGCCACTCGTGTCCCCGGGTAACTTCACTTCCTGCCTTGTCCCGTCATCCCCTGTGATCGTCTAATAGTTTCCACCTGTGTCCAATCACCTGCACCTCCCTTGTGTATTTAAGCCGTGTGTCTCTTGTGTCACTTGTCGCGTCATTGTCTTTCGCCACGCATGTTCTTCTCTCTTGTTGTGGATAGCCGTAGGTTCATGCCTGTGTGTTTTTGCCCCTTTTGGATCTAGTAACTATTAAAGTCTTTTGTTTTGGAGAAGTCTGCATTTGAGTCCTGCCTTCCACCCACACCCCTGACACAGAGGTCTTCAACGTTTAGCTAAGGTCCCCCAAACTGATGGCGAGGTGGAGCAGGGACCCCCTATTCTACAGAGTTTGGTCCGCCATCTTTTATTTTTAAGCTTCACGCTCTTTAGACGTGAGCATAAAGGCGATCTGATTGGCTGGTGCCTGCGCTGTCGTATTCGCATGAAAGGAGCTGTGAGTGAACCGGTGTCCAGCTTGAGAGCTGCTGAGGGAAGCTGAATGTGTGTGTTGCGCACTGACCGATAACGTCTTCTCCATCAATTTATCAATTCGCGTCAATATGTTAGATTCATGTTAATGTGTATTTAAAGACCATAAATAAAATTCTGATTCTGAAGACATTTACATTTGTGGGGGAAAAAAATTGTCTTATCAACCAAAAATTTCGCGGCCCCCCCTGCAGTACCTTTGCGGACCCCCTATTGAAGACCTCTGGTTTAGGACATTTTGTCAATCACGTTTCATGTATTTCTTGTTTAGAATGCTAGAGATAAACAGTTACTTTCATGTATTGTGATTGAATGTATTACTGGAGGGAAATGGATTGTATCATTTTCCTATGATTTAGGGACACGAGTAAGATGGGTACATGTTGGTTATTGCTTTGTTGTGAACACTGAACAGTAACATACTGCTTAATATTTTCTGATTATTTAATTGGGAGTCTTGCCGTGTTCATCCCCTGGTGTTATGTTTTTTTTGCATGTATCGTCACTTAATTCTGTTATTAACTACGTCACCAACACGAATGTATGATCAATCAGAAAACGGCATTACAGGGGTTTTTGGGCCAAAGTCTGACTATTAACGTTAGTAAGTTAGTCAATAGTCAGACTTAGTCAGCTGTAAAGAAAAAAATTGATAGATATGAAAGTCAAACGGTTGCCAGGGTTAGGGTTAAGTGTCAACTAGTGTCCTGTTCCAGTCAACCGGATGCTTTGTCCCATATTCAGTCTGCTTTTTGTTCTCTTTTTATTTTCCACAGCAGCTTCTGGGGGAAATGTCTGTCTCTTTAGCTGCTAAACTCTCCACTTTGTTCACCAGATAGTAATAAACGGTGTTTCTCTGCTCTGAACAGGTGTGGGAATTTTGTCAACTCTAAGATGCAAAAACATTCTGCAATGATTCAGTGACATCACCTCATCTGGATGCCAGTTTTGGCCCGCTGTGTCTTTCGATTTTGCTGTAGTTAGTTAGTTCCCACCTCCTCCTCCCCCCCTGATCCCTCTGTCTTTGAGCTGATATGTGAAAACCTTCTATATGTTGATCACGGCACATATGTAATGCTCCACAGAAGGATTGCACCAATGATGTACTACAACGGCTCAGCTATGAGTTACACAGAAATTATACATTTTTCAATGTTGTTTGTATGTCTTCACTTCTAAATTCGAATATCTTCGCTAAAGGTTTTGTGAGATGTTTGCAATATGTATAATAACACGTTTTTAGTTAACATAATTCAAAAGTAACTAAAAAACATGGTATTATTTAATTGCATCTTAACTGCAGTTATTTTCATCAAAACACATTATTTTCCACGTAGATCAAATTTAGCATCTCCTGAAAATGATAATGCAAAGGAAGTTGTACCCGGGTGTATAAAAGCTCAGTGTTCAACGTGGTGTGTTCAGAGTACCTGCAGAGGCTGAATACAGCACTCAGTCTGGCAGCAGATGGACTCTACTATTCTTTGGACCATAGAGGGAAGCTGCTGAGCCTTTGTTGCTGCTGTGCAGTCGTGTCTTTCATGAGTACCTGGCATTTCTGACATTTGATCATTTTACCATAACATTTCTTATACTGTCCAAAGTTAGACAGTCTTGTGTATCATGTAGGACTACCATACAGCATGCTGTTGTATTTTCTCATTTGCTGATGCAAAGCTACATAGAACATATACACCGACAAAGGAACTAGTGTGTAACACACACAGCTGGGGCGTCAGATTGTAATACTTCCTTCTGCATAAGAACAGTAACTTAAAAAGGGCATGAAATATCCTATGTAGATAAATGATAAAGGTTACCCAAACTCTGCTCTAAATTGTAATGAAAAAAATGATTGAGTCCTAATATGTGTCCATTCAACGAGTACTTTTGTATTGTGCATTACTGTATGTCATTGTGTTCCCTGTTGTTGAGCTTTAGCAACATGCCCACAGACACATTTTTCTTTATACACATTTGTTATACTCTCATTGTCTTTGCTAAAACTGTTGTGCATCTCATGTTGATGGGCTGCAGTCCATATTCCGCTGCACTCGCTCACTTAAGAATGAAAGCAAAGGTTCAGTTCTTTGCATGAGAATCATGCTGTTTATCAATGCAGCACACTGCACATCGTCTGTCCATCCAGACATTTATCTGAAAAAAGCGCTTAGTAGCTTAGTAGCGCAAATAACGCACGAACCTGCTTTGATCGAGTTTCCGAACCGAAACTGCGATCGACGCAAAATAAACCCTGGTGACGCACATTGCTTCTGCTAAAAAAGTATATAAGCCAACATGTTTTAACACAAAAAGGGCGCTTAGTTCTTGCTTCTTGCTCACACACGAAGACGGGGAATCTAGCTCATTAACCATTGATGCACTGCTTTTTTTACCTTTAGGGTTTTAAAAATATAACGGCTTTTATTGTTTTCTTTTCAGTTTTTGTAAACCTTTTCGCCTTTTTATATAAATAAAAATTCTCCTTTTTGGGGAACAAAAGACCATTTGTTTCCGGGGGATTCCTTTCCACTGAGGGGCCTCCTCCAAGGGGCTGAATGACAAGAACACAGCTTCGAAACCTGCAGACACCGGTGAGTGCCCTTATCTTGATACATAGAGGTACCAGTCATCCCCCAAGGGCATTAGGGACCTAATCGATATGTAAGGACGAGCTCACTCGACGGAGGGGTTACAGGTCAAACATATACGTAGGTCCCGGGTGAGAACTTAATCAAAAGGTTCCTTAACTCATCACGTATCACGAATGTATTGTCTTAACAACCTACTTCACCATCATCCGCGTTAGATATTGGGGGGAAGATGAGCAATACTGTGTGTACCGAACAAATACGAGTCATCTCCACAACCTTAGAGAATATAATCGATATTAGAACTTACTCGCTAATAACGATGAGATACACAGTGACTATAAAGTAGTTCCGCTGCTGGCGAAAACATAAAACGCACGACTTAAGAAATAGGCATAATACGACTCGCCCTTGTAGCTGTAAGCCCTACTCTTAAGGAAGTTGTCTTCCACACTCAAACTACTATAGCTCGTCGCGACAATGTGCTGTAGAAAGATCTGACAATTCCTCAATTAGCCTGAAATAAAGACATCACAAAGATGAACAGAAAATAGCACATGGCGAAAAAGTCAAAGAAAAGAAAAAAAAGTAATCTGCAACCTGTGTGACTTGAATGGTTTCTGTCTTAGTTAGACGGAGCTTTGTATGTTCATTACGTATCAAAAGCATCAAAGGTTGAATACCGAAGCACAGACTGGACTTTAGCAGCAGTTGACCCCCCCCGACCCCTCACCTCATCCTCCTCGCAACACAACAACTATGGAGACGCTCAAGTACAAAAGAGAGTCATGGGTGTGTATTGAAAATGAATACATAAGTACGTAAAAAAAAAAAAAAAATCATAGAAATAGCTGTCTTCAGCTCAAGTTATACCAGTGTACGCAGTATGGAGCAAATTAAGACTATAATGCACTACGTTTTTTTGTACTAGTTGAAAACAACACAGTTATGGTATCACAATATTTTCTTACCTCTTAATGCAACAGGGATTTATCTTCTAAATTGTATGATGGTGCTAAGAATGGCAACGTGGCTTTTATATGCAAGTTCTTTGAACCATGAAATATTAAATTTAGCCTACAGCCAATTATATATGTTTAATCGTCTCTGATCTCAAGGGCTAACAATTATTTTTAATTCATTATTGAATTGCTTTATAATGGTCAGTGGCGTTGTTTATGGCCAATGGCCCTGTAAAGCACCTTAAAATACTTTGTAAGTAAATTTCAGTGGCATAAATGATGTGTCATCGTGTTACACGGGTCGGCTGGGCGTGTTTCTCTAAAAGGGTCTGAAAATCCGCTTCTCGGATACCCGCTTTTCCAAACTGTCCCTCAGGAATTCAGCCCGTCTGCAGTGTAGTTTTAGAAAAGGTTCAGGTCAACAAAGAAGTGCAAAGAAGCAGCAAAAAGATCAGACTGACTTTCTGCCATTGTCTTTGACATGTTTCACCAAATATTACGCTGAGGATTCTGGGAAGTGGGGTCTTTGGATCAGTAGGTACCAGGCTGGGGGGGGGGGGTCTAAGAATAAGGAGAGAGACTGTAAGATAACCAGTGATACTAGATGATAATTTAAATCACACACACACACAATACAAGTAATCACATAACATCTCACACAGTCTTTGTTTTTCACATCCAAACAAGGAAGCAGTGAGGATCCTCTGCTGTCCTCAGAGTTCAGGACAATAGCACCAAACACTGCTGCAGGTCAGACCATAGTTCTCCTCTCTGACGCACTCGGGCAGCTCAAACTGAGCCAGCTGCCGCAGGAGTCTTCGAATGCGGTGTTCCTCGAACTGGGCTCTTCCAGGATCTCCGATCAGGACTTTGGTCCCGTGGCGGTTGATGCAGTTGTCCAGCCAGCCGTGAAGGCTGGTGGCGAGCACCTCGTCGTAAAACATGTCGCCTAGGAGGATCAGGTCGAAGCCTTTTGGTGGCGAGTCAATCATGTTGTTAGTTAGACAAACTGGCGGCTCCAGGAGGTTCAGCTCGCAGTTCATGTGGGTCGCAACGGCTGCAACTGCAACACAAGCACCGACTTACTAGACGGGCAACATTCCACCATATTTAACAACTGCCTTAACGTAAACTCTCTCTGTATTCAGTGAATGTCTGTATGCATTGTTGATGTAATATTAGATACCAAAATAAATATGGATGCATACCAAGATCAATGTCATTGGCAACTACATGAGCAGCACCACATAGTCTTGCCGCGATGGCTGCGGCTCCACAGCCGCTCCCCAGGTCCAGGACCGTCTTACCCCGACACACTGCGGGGTTATCCAGGAGGTACCTGCACACAGTGGCTCCCGGATGAGACTCAACAGTCACTCAGTCACACAAAACTACGGTTTATTGCTTTACCACCTCGAGAGCGCTTGTCCTCCTGGCCAGTATATGGCCCAGTACGGATCGTCAAAGGGCCACAGCTCGGGCTTTTCCGTCCAGAATCTGCAGTTCGGGGTGAACAGCCTAAGTTTGAACTCTGGGGTCAAAGTCCGCTGTCCGACTATCTCTGTGTTCTCCGAAATAAACCTTCGGATAGAATCGGGCCGATAGCTGTTTGAGGAGCATCTGGCTGCGCTCGTGTGGCCAAACGCTTTGACGAATGCTTTAATATAACGAGTTCCGGTCGTTAAAGGTGTCAACATGATCGCACGCGTGAAACAGCTGTTAGCTGCTGAGATAACGTGCGGTGATGCTAACGCCCGTTAAAGAGGCCGCATGGCTGCTGGTAACGTTAATAGTTCTCAGCCAACCATCACGTGCCAGTAAGGAGCGTTAACTCTATACATTACGACACTGACAGGTGAGACTTCACGCACTAACGGGATCACCCGAGGTTTGTTTTCCCCACGGATGACAAATAATGCCGGACAAACGTTCCATCACCCCCCTGAAAATGCGTAACAAAAATAAAGGTTCCGCATAAAGAACGGTTCCTACACAAAACGTTGCATTTTTGTGTTTATGAATGCATCGAACTGTAGCCTACACCGTTTTTTATAGCATAACAAAATTGAAAATAGTCAAATAAATTATAAAGAGTGCATGTATTGTCAATTAAACTTTGCATGGAACACATTTTTTTGATCATGGATTTAAGTGGCTGTATTAAAAGTAGGTTTTACAAGTTAAAGCACCTCTTATGTTCTCATCTTTTCTGCCAAAGGCATTGCTTTTTTGATGGAAGGGATGGAAGACACTTGATGGATAGTTTTCTCCTGACGTTGCAGTGACCCAGAGTTGACCCCTGTGGCTGGAACCAGCACACATTTGCTCAGGAAGTGTTTTTACAGATGGTGGCTGTCTTTGGGGGGCCGGTGGAGATAACAGCTTGATTTCTTTTGGGAATTGCCCATTTCAGTCTCCCATCTTTGCGACATTGTCTTCACAGTTTGCAGCTGAAGAAAATCAGATGTTCACTGATCTGTGTTTGTGTTGGAAAAATACTACTCTACACTGGTGTAAAATCATATTCAGTACATTTATTAATAATGCTTGAAACTAAGAGACAAAACACACAGGGTACGCATCAAGGATTCTCAAAGGTTTTTCTCCGCCTCCGAAACTGTAAATAACATATAATAAAACAGGGAGGGCTGTACAACATCTTGAGCTGATCTTCAAAACAAATAAGAGTGTTGTTAATCTTTCCGTGAGGTCACTTTGTCTTGCACTTTTGTACATAAATTTGACCCCATAAGTTCCCTGAGATTGTCTGACAATGACGCACAAAGTACCGTGACAATCAGTTGACCCGTCACACAATGTGTCTCTGTCCTGTGGTGGAAGACTTTGCACAGACAATCGTTAAGTAAAAAACAAAGGCTCTGAGTCAAGTATGTCTTTTCTCCGTTTATTTCCTTGCAAGGGAAAGAGGGTCACAACAGCTACCTGGTCAGTAGACTGTCAAGAACCTCCTTCTGCCCCCAACACATCGGGGCAGTTTTTATACCTAAGTTTAGATATCGGTGGTGTCAACAGAAACCTTTGACCATCTTGTTGAGTCTCTACAGCCAGGGTACTGGGAACATCTTATCCATGTGAGACACGTCAGTTCTTTGACCGTGTCCTTGCTCTCCCAACATGCTAAAACAAATGTGGTCATAGACACAACAAACACTTTGTTCAATCTCTACAGCTATGACCCTGGAAACATCTAATCCAAGTGGGAGACGTCAGTTCTTATGTCAGGACCTTTGTCATCGAAGCACTTGCAATTAAACAACTGGTTATACAAATGAAGCATTTAAAAGGGTTACATATCATTTCCCCATTACAGTTCAGAGAGCACCTGTATAGGTGTAGCTGTATTGACTGAGACACAACATTATTTAAAGTTATAGTTATTGTCAAGTTGCAATTCAGGGGTCTTTTTATATTGCCACTTATGATTCACTAGTTTCATAGGAAAGAAAGCACTATAACTTCAATTTACGGGCTGCTATGGAGGAGGATTTAGGCTACATGATTACAATACAACATATCAAATTAATTAGATACCATTTTCAGAAAAAAATTGTAGCGTGACATTGTTGTTTCAATGTTTCCTGGACCAAGATTCTTGAAGATTCTCAGGCAGGTCATTGGTTCTTTGTAACTTTTCTATCCAGCCATTTATCCCACCAAGCTCTCCATAATTTGTTAAGATGTTTTTTATGTAATATGTTTATTTTAATAAAGTGTTTACATCTCTTATCATCTCTGATGTTCTATTCAAACAAGATAATTATGTGCTCCTGTATGACTGTGTGTGTGTGTGTCTCTGCCTAAGTGAGTGGGAGACAATTGGAACAAAGTCTTGATCTCAAAAAATTCTATAATCTAATTAAAATGCTTTATTATCTTCATCCCTTGGCACTTCTTACTTTCACAAAACTAAATTGTCAGCTTGTATTCCGCAGAGTTAAAAACATCAATGGTAAGCCTTGTCTCTCTGTTGTTGAGCTCTCTAACAGCTACAAATGTTTGCAGCATTTGGCAAGCAGACGTGTGATTCATTTATTACGGATGTGGTAGTCTAGAAGCAGATGGGACCCCGGTGACCCTTGACCTGTTAGGTTGCCCTGACCAGACAATAGCTGATTTGAAGACAACTCATTCTTTGTTTCTGGTTAGTGAGATCCAGTGGCGTGTCTCACTGGTAGCAGAATTTATTAACTTAACAGATATTCATCCCTGGGATGACTCCAGCCCAATTAAAGAGCCCACCATTAAAATCCCAGCCTCTACAGATGTCGAGCCGCGGTCAGGTTTATCAGATCCTCCGAGTCAGAGGGTAGGAAAGTAAAGTATTAGTTGTCCATGAAGACTATTTATCTGCTTCATTAAGACCACAGGAGTCTAATTGCATCCACACAGGGAGAAATATCAATTTCACAGATAACATGGACAAAGCTCTACGACACTGAATAATATATCACTCACGGTTCCCTTAACTGACGGCGCGCTATTGTTGTAAAAATCAGCACATATAAATGCTTACTGGTATTTAAACGTATTTATAGCTAAAGTGAAACAAAAGGTTCGGAATTGAGAATTTTAAAGAGAAGAACAGATAAGTTATACTGTATTTTAGTAGTTGGTTATCGTGACTGTTTTATATACTAGCGTCAGATCTTATCTTATCTTAAACATATTAGATAAACATCTCCAGAAGGCTTTTTTTTGGTGTATCCCAGTAGCAAAATGTTAAACAAGCATACATAATCCCAAATGATAAACAATGAACGACTGTTCATTACTTGATTAGTCCCGGGGCGCGGAAAAAGGATTATATTATATGTCATAACCAAAAACAGGAAACCCGTTTTATGCACGCTGAAACTAAAATGTTAGCAGAGAGGTCGAATAACTTATTGCACAGCAACCGGAGCCCTGTCTCTCTGTTTTTGAGCTCTCTAACAGCTACAAATGTTTGCAGCATTTGGAAAGCAGACGTGTAATTCATTTATAACAGATGTGGTAGTCTAGAAGCAAATGGGACCCCGGTCCGCCCACATCCTCTCTTCCAACAAGCAATATTCTGTGTCACGTCACCTAAAGAAGATACACGAGTCTGGGGTTGTTTTAACTTAAGTCATTTACACTTATAGAACGAATCAAGGTTGAAATTTAAGAAACAACCCCCCCCTGCTGCCCTCCACCCAAATATCTAGACATCTTCATATATTATTCATTTAATTAGCTATTCAGTTCATTCACCATTATTTTCAGCATTTATGTTCAAACACGGAGCAGTTGCATATGCATTTATACACCAGTTTGTGTTTGTTTTAATATATATATTTCCAGTAAGCAGAATGTGACCCCACCGTGGTTATAAAAATCCCACAATATTGAGAAAAACAACCCATAACCTCGGTGTGTAGCTTCAGCTTCAGATCATGACATGATGTTGCAAAAAATGCAGAGTAGATTCAGTATGAGTTACTTTATGCAGCAGCTTTCACAAATCTATAGTGATGGCACCAAGAAATGCCGCATAAACACATACAGCACCCTGAAAGTCATCCTGTAGCCATTAACATGGTTTTCACACGTGGTTGGAGACGAGCGACTCTGTTTGGTCTCTGAAAGCGTTTGGCTCAGCTCACAAATATGCACAGCGGGGTGCCAGCAGGAAAAACATGGCAGAAAATTCAGAAATCATTTATTTAGAGACAGTAATGTTTGAGTGATACAGATCAAAACAATAAGCTGAACTGAATTGATTCCATCATTTAATTATGAATACATATGAAAGGCGGAACAGTTAAATAATCAAGCGAAATTGCTCGAGTCGGAACTTGCATTTAGATGCGTCGCCGCAGCACTGATTGTGTTACCAGCACGACATGCTTCACTGACAAAGGAAAACTGACAACAAAAAACGTGACACAATGCTATCTCTTAGCTCTTCCCGTATGACTAACAACTCCTTTCCCAAGTTATGCAAATACTCCAATTATTATGCTCCGAAAGAATAAAGTTTATGCAAGAGTGAGCTCAATAATATCCTCCGAAGAACACGCAGGAGTACTTGTGTTTTCATGTAAGAGAGAATGAGGGGGAGATTGAACTCCCAGTGCATAATGTTTTCTCTCCTCATAATTATGTTGACAAAGGTTCACAGTAAGAATTAAAAAAAAATACTTTGAATGTTTGATGACTTTCTCTACATCTGTTCCCTCTTTTTTTTTAAATGACTTCTACCATTTGCTGCTTGAAACAAAATAATTCACTGAAATTGTGAAAATGTTATGCTTTGATGGTCTGAAATGTCAACGCGTGGGAACACAAACAAACACCTACTTCAAGCTTTAATATAGATGTAGATATTCAAAGCACTTCCACCCTTTTACAGTGTGTAAGCGGGTGAAATAAGCACCCAATCTGCACTAAATATCTCTATTTAAAATTTAATTAATCTGCTATTGTTTTAGCACGCACCCTTGTTTCGATTAAAACACCCACATCACAGAAGCCATGCAAAGAGGCAAATGATGCCCATGTTCTGTCAACAGCCCTCTGAAGCTGAATATTATCTTTTCAAGAAGGGGAACCATGGGAACAGCACAAGAGCATCGATATATTCACACACACACGTGTAGCTTCATGTGCAGAATGCGAAGGCCCATGTGCTTGTTTGAGTTTCGTCTCAGTGCAGCCGCATATGGACGTTCCGGACGAGCCACGCGGGAAAATCACAGCATCAGATATTATAATGCACAGGACGTACATCTCATTAAATCAGGTTATACAAGTGCTGATTGACAAATGAGCCGCTTCCAAACAGAAACAACAGTCTTCGGCACGCGGTGGTCTCTCTCGTCCACATCCCTGTCTATTCAATGGCCGAAAGGAAAAAGAAAGCACCACTGATGCGACAC